GCCCATCAGGGTTTGGCTGTAGCTCTGTGCTTCCTCTTATTCCTGTCTGGTTCTGTTGACTTCTCTACAAGTAAGTTTTCCAGAAGTGAACTTCCAGGCCTTTCCCTTCCAAATGAATTAACCTGCAGTGTCTGTCCATGCAAGTGGAATGAGTTGGTCAACTTTTAACAGAGGAGGATCAATAAAAGAGTATTCTTTGTACCCTTCTGGCTCCCAGGGGGGTGGTTTGCCCCAGACAAGTCACCCGGGGGTTTCAGAGATAATCACTGTAAGCAAATAGGACATTTCTGTTCCTGGAATGAGGAAAAAGACTTTATTCCTTCTGGGAAGTTTGTGCATTCCAGCACAAACCCTTTTCCTGGCAGTTTGAGGCTCCTGTACTTTAATTTGTGAGCAGTTGCCAGGGGTGGGCTGTGATTGAGGTGTCACTGTGGGGCTCTGCAGCTGCTCACCCCAAACCCCTCAGCAGCAGGGAAAGGCTGTTGTGCTGAACACACCTGGAAAGGCCTATTTTGCCTGAAATAATTAAAAAAAAAGGACTTACAGGATGGTTTCACTGGTGCTGCTGTGCTCTATCCAGTGCAGATATGTGGGGAAATAATCCTTGGAGGGTGATTGAATATCCTACAGGCTGAAACTGTTGTTTCCTGTGCTCCAGGGAACCAGTGCAGAGCAGGACAATCGCTTCAGCAACAAGCAGAAGAAGCTGTTGAAGCAGCTGAAATTTGCAGAATGCTTAGAAAAGAAGGTAAGTGGCTTGGGGTGAGATGGGAAGTAAGACACACCAAGCAAGGAGGTTTTTCAGTGGATGAATTGGGGATCAGGTGGGACATATGGGAAGGTGAGGAATGTCTTCCCTAAAACCACCCTGGAGGATATTGGAGCATCAAAGACAGAGCAGTGCTATCCATGATCTGCTCACAGCACTAAATGCACCTTCAGAAGAAGTCAGTTTTCCAGCACATATTAACAATTTGGAATTCTGGGCGTCCTCAGATGCAGCCCCCCCCTCAATGCCCTTTTTTGGGGTGGTGTTTGTTGTTGTTGTTCCAGGTTTTCTGGAGCAGTGTGCTGAAGGGCACTGTGGTTTGGGGACATTGCTGCAGTGACACAGACCAGGGCAGCTGCAGAAACAGCTCAGGGTTCCTTGCTGAGCTGCAGAGCTTTGCCCTGTGGGATTCCCTGGGACTGTAGGGAGGGAATGTCCCTCAGGGGGGTGGATGGGATGCTCCAGGGGCAGCTGCTGTTGGGAGATCCCTGGTCATTCAATGTTTTATTTCAGAGCACAGAGCTGGTCCTTCCTTGGGCTTCCCAAACATGCCCAGGCAGCAGCTGATAAAGCTGCTGAGATACCTGTGGTGAGACCCAGCCAAGCTGAGAGCAGAGCTCAGCCTGGGAGGGTTTGGGTTTTGTAAATGAAAAAACTGATGTCTGGAAGAATTGCATTCCAAGGAATTCAAAGCCTTGTGTCATTCCTGCTGTTCCCCAAAGGTGGTCATAGTTTCCGTGGATGGAGGCATGAATAAAACATCCACAAATGTTTATTTCTGTAGAGAAGTGGGCTGTGCTCCAATCTGGGGTGAGGATTTTGTAAATTAAGATATTTGGAATGGTTGAATTCCCTCCTGACATTGAGTGCTTCATGATTTATGGGAAGTTGTTGAAGTCTGGGGGACAGGAGTCAGGGGAATGGGTGAGCTGAACTGAGATTTGCTTTATCATTCAGTGGGCTTCACTGTTTGCTGGAAACTGGATTGGATGAAGGCAGTGACCAGTCCACGGGTGTAGTTTCACTTTTGGTTTTTGTTACTCTCTCCTCTAGCTGATACTTAGGAGAGTTTACTAAAAATTTGCTGTGTTTTGACTTCTCTTCCCATCTCTAGCTTCTAATTTTAGCCTTTCAGGAGATACAGGAAAATCTATATGAGGAAAAATAAGGTCCTAGTGTCCAAAAGTGTGCTTTGATCAAACTGTAACCTCTGCTGAACAAGGGCAGAGTGGTTTGAAACAAAACTGGGCTGAGGTAATCATGTAGCAGCATAAAACTGAGTGTGTGCAGTGAAAGAATTCAAAGCACTGTGAGCTCCTGTGTTTAGTGAAAGGGCTTGTTGTGAAAATGTTGTTTCTTCTGCCTCTTTGCTGTAGGTGGACATGAGCAAAGTAAATCTGGAAGTAATCAAACCATGGATAACAAAACGAGTAACGGAAATCCTTGGGTTTGAAGATGATGTAGTAATTGAATTTATATTCAACCAGTTGGAAGTGAAGGTAACAAGTTTTGTTGTGGCTATTGTTTCTAAATGTGTAACATAATTGTTATGAATTCTATTGAATCTGTGAATTTCTCAAGTACAGTTAGGAGGGGTTTTTGTTACTATGTATATTTTTGCAAGAAATTCACTGTGTAACAGCTGTAAGGCTGGAAGTTTAGTGAAGGTGCATAGTTTGCAAACTGCTCAGGTGAAAAAAAAAAAAAAGAATCAAACTTACTGTTTTAATT